AATGTTGCATCCCTGCCCAAGAGAAGGCACCTCTCGAGATTAGTGGCTGTCAACTAGAAGAAGTCAACAGTTTCAAAAACCTCGGAGCGAGGTTGCTGCCGAACGGACAGAGTAAAGATGACGTTTCCACGAGCCACTAAGTTCACCGAGTCATAAATCGCAATATTCATAGTGCGCCACTATTACCCAGATTCATAATTCCGAAAGAAAACCACCCCTGTCTCCGAAACGATCGTTCAAACGGGCAAAATATGTGGAAGCATGAGTCCACAGAAGACCTCAAGAGGCCGCTCCAGTAATTTAACTCGAACACAAGAATACAGTAGCTTACAGAGCAACAGATATCGGAAAATGACCAAAAGTCTGTCGGATAGACTAGAGGTGTGACGCTAAGAGGTCAATCTGACAGGGGAGCCAGTGAGCCATAGGGGGCAGATATTTTCTCCTACAGACTTAACTACTTCTAACTATGTAAGGTACTACGCAGGCAACTTATCATTCGCATAAATCAAATGAAGACAAACATTCAAGTGGAAAAATGTAAAAAAAACATAATACGTCAAGAAGCTCCGACGGTCAGGGAAGATCCGGTTTAATCACCGAGCTCTACAGTATCTGGTTTTAAGTTGCATACCAAACAATGCAAAACTGCTGATTTTGTCGAGGGGTCGACTCAGCCAATCCGCATACGGAATTGTACCCAACTGCGCATGGCTCTTGCACAGGCATCAAATATGCTAGTAGTATACGCTCGGAAATGCATGAGAGGAAATGACGGCGTAAAGCATTTGAAGTCAACGTTAAAAAATGGTTTTTCTCACCAAGATGATCGGCGATTTTGAAAATTTTCTCAACGCTATCGGTCACGATGAGAGGGGAGTTTATTCTTTTTTCCACGGCAAGCACGACACCTTCTGGTGTTTTTATTCCTATCCCAGTCGAACCCAACTTTAACAGTGTTAAGGAAACGAACAGGTTACTTTAGTGGCCTCAATTGCGTATTCAACCTGGAAAAGTCGACCATCAGGAGAAAAAGTATTCACACCACGGTCATACTCAGTTTTAGTCAGAAACATGACTAATAGCTGAAAACCCTCGTCTTAATGTGATAGAGCAAAAATCGACCCACCGCACTGAATTATAGGCAGTTAAAACAAACTTTCGTTTACACAAAGAGAAAGGTAGTGGGAATTGGTCCAAGTAATAAACGTGTAGGAAGTGGCCAAAAATACACATTTAACAGGTATTAAGTGGTACTAGAACAATACTGAGAATTTTCTTTTTTCAGTAATTACACCGTGACATTTATCCAAGCCTGTGGTAACTTATATAATTTTGTACAAACGGCAAGTAAGCGTATGCAGAAAACCCGTTAAACAGAAAGTTCCTAACTATGTGCTTTCTCCTAATATGATGGATGAACATGACTTTGTACACGAACTATTAAACTGCCTAGTATTTTTGGCCTGGTGCTTCATTGGAAATCATAAATCGCAAGGAGAGGTGGTCGAGATAAAAGGAAGTGAAATTTACGATATTTCCTTCTTTATAGAAAGCTGTACCATCCAAGATTAGAAGATAACAATCCCTCACGGTCAGGGTCGGAGTCGAACCTGAAGTAAACTGCGCAAGGGCCAAAGCCGCCGTCTTCAGATTTCAAACACGATCAAAGAGCGAGAACTGTCATGCGTTACAGGATCGAATTATGAGAAATCCAGACTGAACTACATAATTCGGTTCGTTTCTATTAAACGATGCATCCTTTCATCTTTTAAGAGTCCATTTGTTATTTGAAGCGCATTCGGAAAAAAATGCCTTTTTAGAGCAAATCTTCCCGGGGCACACTTTCACTGAATAGATGTCCACTGACCTTTGTTAAAGTGTTAACTTGAGATAGTCGTCACAAGCAAACCAATAGTTCAGGTTAAGACTTTCGCGGAATCAGCACACTGCTGCTGGCCTCGAACGTCTTGGGACTCTGATAAATTGTGGGATTGTGCTATTACCTTATCATACGTTAACCTTCGGGTTTTCTGTATAACAGATACCACGACGAATTTTACTTCGTCTCCGGTTTTTTACTGCTTTATATCTCCAGTTCTAGTCTTTTAAAGTAATGGTTATCGCGAATACATCACACTGACACGTGGCAAACCATGCAAAATTGTCATATGTCTCAAAGACCTGTCAAACTCTTTCTGCCTTCAGGGCAAATTGCACAACTTACGCA